GAAACTGTTCTCCACGGCATGTATAAATGTGTGAAAGACGACGTTCTAACATCGTTTAGTTTTGTTACAAATATTATTTTTACACTTTAAGAAATGTCTATAAAATTCACAGTAATGAAAAGTTGTAGTTTTTTATGTTTTATTGAACATAAACACTACAAACTTTACAAATGTACAATTTTCATACGGTCAAAGGAGTGGGCAGAAGTATACTTATATTAGCCCATGCCTTCTCCTGCAACCTTATTCCAATCATTTCTTATTTATCAAGAAAACGTTCAATTTCTTAAGAATGCAGGTTTCCAACAACACTGACACCTGCAATTCATTTTAAATTTTAAGTCTTTGAATCTTGATAGTTTTGTTTTAAGACTAATATGACCAATTTACAAGTTTGCTCTTAAAAACTGTTTTTTTTAAAGGTGAAGAGTAAAAAAACAGTGAATTTGTGTTTAGTAACAGTTGAACCATTTTCATATTTAAGAGCAGATCTAATTGAACTGAAAATTTGTGCTGGTGCATTTTATTCTGGCTTCGTAGTCACCCACTACTGCTTACAAAAGGATATAAATTTATTGAGGAAAAAAAAACTTTCAGACAGAAATGTCTTAAATCTCAGCGAATTCAAAGATTGGCACGGTACCTTCACGGTACTGAGGTGTCACTGAAAGTTGTCGGAGAACCAAACAGAGCATCCAAAATATGCCTGATCAGCYCACTTTTACAGTCGATAGATCAAAACGTTGACATTGTGTCACCTTAGATTATTAGAGAAGTCCCAGATTACGTCTGAGCTTTAAAGAAGAAAAGTGCTGTTGGAAATCAGTGGCTGCCTTGGCCCTGTTTGTTTTCTAATGAATGTAGTCTCAAAGAAACATTCAAGTGGATTTGATGCATTTAATGGTCGTGTGTCGAAAGCTGTCAGGTTCCTCAGTCCACCACTCTGCCTGAGGATAAAACCAGTCTGAACGACCTAAGAGACGAATTTACAGTCACCAAGAGTYAAAAATTAATTAAATAACAGGTACGTTTAAAACAAGGACTGCAATGCTCTCAATATAGGGATTTTTTATTTTTTTGGTGGTGGTGGAAAAAAGAGAAAAAAACTTACACACAAGACTCCACGTGTGTCAGAGC